CACTACAGGCTGATCCAACTTTGATCTAATGTCCTTAAAACAAGTCAAAATAAGGCTCAGTAGTGTGTGTGGCCTACACGTGCCTGTATGACCTCCCTACAACGCCTGCGCATGCTCCTGATGAGTTGGCGGGTGGTCTCGAGGGATCGGACGGGCATCAATGCCTTTGTCTTGCAGGAACTGTTGACACACTCCAGCCGCATGAGGTCTAGCATTGTCTTGCCTTAGGAGGAACCCAAACACACCAGCATATGGTGTCACAAGGGGTATGTGGATCTCATCTCAGTCCCTGAAGGCAGTCAGGCCTCTGGCGAGCACATGAAAGGCTGTGCGGGCCCCCCACACCATTACTGACCCACTGCCAAACCGGTCATGCTGGAGGACGTTGCAGGCAGTAGAACGTTCTTCACTGCGTCTCCAGACTCTATCACATCTGTCCCATGTGCTCAGTGTGAACCTGCTTTCATCTGCGAAGAGCACAGGGCGCCAGTGGCAAATTTTCCAATCTTGGTGTTCTCTGGCAAATGCCAAACGTCCTGCACGGTGTTGGGCTGTAAGCACAACCCCCACGTGTGGACGTCGGGCCCTCATGGAGTCTGTTTCTGACCATTTGAGCAGACACATGCACATTTGTGGCCTGCTGGAGGTCATTTTGCAGGGCTCTGGCAGTGCTCCTCTTTGCACAAAGGCGGAGGTCCTGCTGCTGGATTGTTGGCCTCCTCCACGTCTCCGGATGTACTGGCCTGTCTCCTGGTAGCGCCTCCATGCTCTGGCTACTACCCTGACAGACACAGCAAACCTTCTTGCCACAGCTTGCATTGATGTGCCATCCTGGATGAGCTGCACTACCTGAGCCACTTGTATGGGTTGTAGACTCCAGCTCATGCTACCACTAGAGTGAAAGCACCGCCAGTTTTCAAGTGACCAAAACATCAGCCAGGAAGCATAGGAACTGAGACGTGGTCTGTGGTCACCACCTGCAGAACCACTCCTTTATTGGGGGTGTCTTGCTAGTCGCCTATAAATTTCCACCTGTTGTCAATCCTATTTGCACAACAGCATGTGAAATTGATTGTCACTCAGTGTTGCTTCCTAAGTGGACAGTTTGATTTCACAGAAGTGTGACTGACTTGGAGTTACATTGTGTTGTTTAAGTGTTCCCTTTATTTTTTTGAGCAGTGTATTATAGTGAGTCAGGTGGGTTTGGGCTCTTGGTATCTACAGTAAGCAGGGGTTGAGCACCCCATGATCAAGCAATATTTTGGCTAGGAAGCTAGCATTACCATAACCCTATTTGATAAACAACCCAGCTCAAAAGTTCCACTTATCACTAAACATGTGTAAGTGAAACTTTAGCCATAGCAAGTAGGAGTTCACACCTGGTGAATGTGCCACAGACCCTTCATATTTGCAGTGGCGAGTAACTTTAATGCCTGACTTCTAGCATAGGACTTGTAAGTTATTTTTTTTTTAATTTGTATTTTATTGGAGTTTCCACACTCAAAATACAACTCATAGTATAAAAGAAATTTAACAGTAGAACGGCATTAGCGAGGCAGCATGAAGGACCAGTAGGTAGCTATCAGTTACTGAGCAGTTAGTTTTTTACTGCTAGGCAGTATATCTGGCATGTCGTGAATTCACCTTTGGTGTTGGTGCGTTGCAGCCTATGTGTGGCCATATAGAGACATTTAAAATTAATCCCAAACCTTATAATAAAATAAACCACCTCACCCAAAATAAACATGGACTTTTGGACCCACTATCTCCTTTTATTCCACTAGTTGGAACATAGGCAGGGATCCCTACCCTTTTCTTCTGTACCCATCACAGGTTTATGTAAAGTTACTCTTTTTGATGCAAGAGTAGATTGGCCGTTCATACCAGTGCTTTTAGGGGAAGAGCTTAGATTGTAAAAGCTAAATAAATAAATAAATTTTTTGCAATAACTGTACAAGTTAAAAATGTATAGCTTGCTACATCTGGTTTGTTTCTCAAATTAAAAGTCGAGTTGCAGAGACATATTAAAGGAACACTAGAGTCACCTAAATTACTTTAGCTAAATAAAGCAGTTTTAGTGTATAGATCATTCCCCTGCAATTTCACTGTCATTTAGGAGTTAAATCACTTAGTTTCTGTTAATGCAGCCCTTGCCACACCTTAAATAATTGTATCTCAATTGAACTTTAAATCACATACAGGAGGCTCTTGCAGGGTCTAGCAAGCTATTAACATAGCAGGGGATAAGAAAATCTTAATTAAACAGAACTTGCAATAAAGAAAGCCTAAATCGGGCTCTCTTTACAGGAAGTGTTTATGGAAGGCTGTGCAAGTCAAACGCAGGGAGGTGTGACTAGGGTTCATAAACAAAGGGATTTAACTCCTAAATGGCAGAGGATTGAGCAGTGAGGCTGCAAGGGCATGTTCTATACACCAAAACTGCTTCATTAAGCTAAAGTTGTTCAGGTGACTATAGTGTCCCTTTAAGCATGCTAAGTGTTTGAAAACATTCCACAATTACAGCGCTTCATATGAAAAGCCTGCACAGCCTGCTTCCTTGCTATGCGAGTTAATTGCTTGTGGACTGAAGGTGATGGGGCAGGGATGTCATATGGAAGGTGAAATGAAGTAGGTCGCAGAGATTTTAAATTACGTTCACCAAGTAACCACCACCCAGGATCATGTTTCACTCATCCTTCGTCTCCCACCTTTATCTTACTGGGGTCTCATTTCCCTCCCTCTATACACAGAGACAAAGAAGTAAAGTGGAAAAGTAGTTTCCAGTTCACCTGTTTGTTCCACCTCATATCTGAAAGCCTGAGAATTAGACTCCATGGTAAGATGAAACCAACAGAACAAGCTTTATTCTTCCACCTCACACATGCCACCGCCACTTGCTCCCCCCAGAGTTTTTAAAATATCAATCTGTAGAACTGGTGCTATAAAACCTAGACAGGATTTCATCTGCCCATATTTTGACTCTGCCCTTTAGCTCAGATTCTCTCCAACAAAGATACAATAAGGTGGTAAAAATACAATGTCCTTTCAATTCTCATCACAGCACCCTAGTCTACAGCAGCAATACGCATGGGAAGATTGTTGTAACACTTTTTTTTTTTTTTAAAGGATGGCTCCAGAGATGTGATCCATTAGTGAAGAGTGGATGTAAAACAGACTGCCTGGCACCCCGACTGGGTACCTCAGTCAAGCGTGGCTTCCTAGTACTTTTGAGCACCATAAGCACAGCACTGGGACACCATAACCACTGTAAACCACACAGCTTGGTTGGGGTCTTGCAGTCCTCCATCCACCCTGGACTTAAGACCAGGATCCAGTGGATAGACCTCTCCTAGTCCAGAGAGTGAAGCAGTCTGCTCTTACAAGAGCAATTGTGATCCAAGGGAGTAGTGATTATAGCAATCCCCAGAGTGAATATAGCTCTCCAATCCCCAAACATGAGCCTAGACTTCATGAAGGGTAAAACAAAAGCTGTAAAATGGCAGCCACATCTGGCCTTATAGGCAGGTCCCCATGCAAGGGGCACTCCCCCCTGTTGAACATAGACTACAGTTTAAACCCCCCCCAGGCTCTCCGGTACCAGACATTCACATACAAATTAGGTCAATCCATCCCCTATGCCTGGGAGATAATGGAGTCAGTACTATTACACTCAATTATCTACAGGCATTATAAAAAAAAAAAAAAAACTCCAAATATACCTTAAAACACACAAGATCCCCACAAAAGTTACATCCCTGATAGGGGTGACAAACATATCCAAAAATCACCCAGATCAGTTCAGGAATTTTGCAGACACCCAGATGAACACCGAGAACACTGTGGTGGAAATTGCTACAAAGAAGCAGTTAGTCTTAACAAGCTCCAGGGTGGTCTCCTGTTTGTGCGGCTGTTCAGTTCCCAAACCAAATATAAAATCCCATGAAGTCTCTTCAGTTTTTTTTTTTTTTTTTTAAAGGGCCCATAGTCTTTTGGTAAGCAGGCCCCTCCAAGAACACGTGACTAGGCTCAGTTCGTCACAGCAGGGATACCCACCCATGTGCCAGTAGTACCAAACTCCTTTCTGTAGTTACAGCTAGATTACCGTGAAATTAAACATTAATTCCAGTTTTGCAACCCGTACGTTTTTAATATTGTGTTTGACAAGATTAACACGTATGGTTTGAATCCACAGATATTGCACGATTACTTCTTTCATGGCAATAAATGGTTGAATGGGACACTGAGGGTAATAATTGAAGATCACTCAACTTTCACCTTGAATGCAGTGTACAGTGGGATTTTAATAAGGCAGAATATTTACAAACCAAAGGGACACAGGAAAACTACTGAATAATCCTTATTTCTGCCTGTAGTAAGTTACTTCCCATTGCAGCTCTAAGAGCTACCCAATCTTTGTAGCTATAGGATGTACCAACCCAACCATATTACTGCACATGCGCCAGAAGAAATTTTAATACTGCCAATGCCACCAAAACAGTTTCACACCATGCATATCAGCTGGTCTGAGGCAGACCTGTCAAAAGCCACACAACAGATTCTAAGCACTCCATAACAGAAAACCTCAGCTTTCACACAGATGTCACAAGATTTAGCTAACTTGTGACATTACAGAGAACCAATATCATGTGTACATCAGACTGATTGAATCCCCGGTGCATACAGTAGATACAGCAAACTGTTTAGGTGAGAGATGAAAGAGCAATACCCACTTTTTTCACCACATGGCCATAACATGCTGTAATGTTACAAGTTACAAAGCAGAGGAATGCCTTGGGTCCAATTACAGTGCTCCTACTATTACATTAAGAGGGGAGGAAGAGAGGGAGTTCTAACAAAGGCAGAAACATTCTGCTATGAAGATAATGTTGAATGCACATGCAACACTCAACCAGTGCATCTAGAGTGACCCAGGCAACAATCACACTATACACAAGCTCATCAGAAACTAGATCAAACCAAAAGAGTAAAAACAAAAAAGGATTTAATATTTAAGATAAAAATACTCAGTTTTCAAACAGGAATAAAAACATTAAAAAACATAAAAAGCATTCAACGTAGATCACTTGGCACGTGATCGAGCAGAAGTACGTCTAATGGGTGTTGGGTTTTTTGGGGTCTCCGCATCACTCAGCTCGGCTTCCATATCTAGAGAATATAAAAAAAAAAAATTAAAAAATATATAAAAAAAAAAGTAGACCTTTTCTCTTAGACTTTGATTTGGGATTTTTAAAGTTTATTTTTTTATTTTACACACACACACAAATGTCACTTACCAGACTCTTCATCACTGGAGAACGTTACAACCACAGTCTTGCGAGGGTTCCTGCGCGGATGATGCTTTGGCGTCTGAAAATCATCTTCATTTTTAGGTTTCTGTACAGAGTTGATGGAGGAAAGCGGCTGTCTCTTTGCTGACCGTGCATAAATAAAGAGCAGGATAGTGAAAGAAAAGCTTTCAGTTACATAACCCAAGGCTTCACTTTAGTTTCCTATTTCTACACACCATACCATGTGACCATTTCATGACCCCAGTCTGACTCTTGTACCCACAAGTACTGGAGCACACGGCAGTTACTGCACAAAGCACATTACATTTCAACCACCAACAAGACCAGACTTACCAGGAGGATTTTTCCTGGCAGGCTGTGGAGGATGGCCTTCTGAATTTTCTTCTTGAGGTTCCTCACTCTCCATATTCTCCAGACCTTTATTATGACACTTGTGCAGCTTTTGTTCAAACTCATCTATCAGAGTCTACAGCACAGATTGGGGAAAAAACAAAAAAAGAAAGAAAAAACAGACACATTAAGTAGGAACACGAACAAATCGACCTAGCCCAGAACTATTCATACATCCAGTCTCTTGCCACCTACAACCTCCTGCTTTTCCCCCCAGGCCGCAAAAATTCCAGTCAGCACCCAAACCATTGATTTAATAAGTAAATGTAAAAAAAAAAAAAAAAAAATTCCCATCCACAGAAATGGATGTTTGTACCTTAAGTTCAGGCTTTGCTCCTCGACGCATCTTTGCCACTGTGTTTACGAAGGAGTTGTATACGTCATCGTCACTTAATTTGTCACCATAACATTCAAAACAATCCTGCATCTTTCGCAGTCCTTTCTCTGTGAAAGGCAGGAGAGAAAGGCAGTGCGCAAGATCTCTCCATTGTCGCTCAGTCCTGATATGGACATAAAAACATGCGGCTTACTAAAGATGGTATTTGTGCATTTTTATCCAGCACATTATGGGGCAGATTCTTTCCCACCAATTTTTTTTCCTACTGTTAAAGTTTTACATGACAAGACAGAAGTCATGTAAGTAAAGTTAAGTCATTATCCAACTTCTAGAATCTGAAAAGGTTTTGAGAGGCATTGGCCCTTCCCAGAGTCCATCCCAAGGTGGGTAGCTGCTCCAAGAGAGCACAAAATTCCTCTTCACATGCAACACATTAAAAAGCACAATGTTCCTCTCCAAGCTCTGCTGTAGATTGGAAGCCACTTTAAATGAAACCTGCCATGTGCAAAAACTGCAGCTCTTTATAAAATCTTGAAATCACATATACATTGCACTAGCAGTCTTGA